CTGAAGTTTGCACTTCCATGGGATGATTTTAAAACCACTAAATTAAGAAAGAATAGGAACTCAGTCCAAAGCATGTGAATGAAATGGTTCTTTGAACAATTCAGTCTGAGGTTAAACCTCATAAAATTTTGCTATCCTCTGAAGCACTAAGACTTAATGTACACTCATTTTACCATGAAAGCTAGTTCACAGTATTGCATTTGTAAATACAAAATTCCACAGTAAATCTATATGAAACAGCAGTTGAAAACTACAAACTGTTGCATTTTTGAACTGCTAGGTTTAAGCAATGTTTTGACTGAATGGTTAACCAACAATTTCTAACAAATGGTACAGGGTACTGTGATCCCTGTGATGCAAGGAAATGACATATTACTACTGTCATTTATTTGTGCCTTTAAGGAGAGGTTTGCTGTCTCTAAACATGAAGTGGTTCCAGCAGGACACAGGTGAAATGGGGGAAAGAAAATGTAAATTTCATGCCCACAACTCTGAAATTTCTGAATGATATGGGATATGTATTCTGATTTGTGTTGTACTGTACATGGATTGAGGGGTGCAGCTCAATCCCTGAACTAAACTCCACTATGTCTTCAGAATACATGTTGGTGATGTAGTCTTGTTGTCAGTAATGGGGACCAAACAAGATTCCCCTCTGGAGTATATAAAAGTTCCTATCTAACTAGTCACTGTCACTGTCTTCTGTTGGGATTTGAGGAATGAATGTCTGGAATGTATCACTGTTCACAGGACATAAATCTTGGGTATATGTCCAAAGAAATTCTGTTCTGAAATTGTGTATTTCTCATTAATTTGAGAAATATGACATAAACAAAGATTTAACTAAAAATTCTGATAATATACTCCGCACAATCTTCAGTGGAGAATGACTGTATACATCACAAATATGAATCACATTAATTTGATGCCCATCTTTCACCTTTATCGCACTATGCACCATCAACACACCTTTGCAAGTACTTAAAATGAGCAGTGGTTAATTACTTGTCTTTCCCTGCTTTAGCTTTTCTAGGTATTCTTTAGTCTTCTGAAATAAATTTGGGGACATCTTATCCAGGGTGATGACGCTGCTGTCCTTCAACGTCAGTATGATTCGAGTCTGCTTTGGGTGAATGCTCTTCACGTTCTGGTTCAGCTGAGGGAAAAAAAAAGGTGAAAAGTAGAGGGTAGTTAATCAAAAACACCTGTGAACAGGAAAGAACAACAAAAAACCTGCAGAAATGTGACATTTTCATTCTACCGGATAAATGATATATGGGATCTATGCTGGTAAAACAGATGTTAATAGCACCACCACTGAGGAGTTCGGTTGCCATATGGCTTACTGTCCACTTGGTACAATGCAGATACTAGGACTTGTGATAAAACAAATCTGTTGCATGTTCTTGATCACAAATGTAGCAATTTCTTTCCTGATTTTTTTCTTATTAGGAGATAGTGAACATCTATCCATCTATACACTTACAGCTCATCAGTCGAACAGTGTGCAATGCCCTGGCACTTCTGCAGTGTGTCGCATCACACCCAGAGACACCGTAATGGGAGTTCAGTATAACATTGCAAAGGTTTTAGTAGCATATTTGTTTCATTCACTGCTAATGACGCCATATTGTGTTTAGAAGCTTTAATGGTGTAATGCTATAGAAAGACATGGTTACGACATGGTTATGTACAGGGCAGAAATATTTTCACTGACATTATTTGCTCAGAACTTGTTAATACTGCTTCACAGTCCAAAGCACTGTCTTATCAGTTACTGAATAAGTACGAACCAAACAAACTGAACAATACCTGGAAATTTTTGGAAGATCCACCACAGTTGAACCTTAGACAGAGGTTGACTTTATTATCCTTTTCCAGAATCTCAAAAGTGCCTTCTTTCCACTTTGTGGTGCCCACATCTATGCTGGTAAAACGGATGTTAATAGCGCCACCACTGGAGAGTTTGGTTGCCATGGCTTACTATCCAGTTGGTACAATGTAGATACAAGGACTTGTGATCAAACAAATCCTAAACGAGAGAAATTAACTGTCAGGACAATCACGCCAATACCCTGTCTGCATACGGTGGATTATGACTAGTATATTTCAACCATGTCCCATTGCACAATTTAGAATCAATGAAATTACTGTTACTAAACAGGCAGGCATGGGTTGTCATTAACGTTACTGTCATTGCTCGATAGCTGACATTACCACGGGCTAATGGTAATAGGTTAACGTCACACAGCTTATTAAAACACCTTCAATTTGCCAACACTGACGGCTACAAGACTGCAGCACACCATTTCAGAGGTTGTTACTCAGCTAGGACAAGTAACATAATAGTGCATCCCACGTCGGCTTTATTGCGTTGCGCGCCTGTTGGAAGTCACAACAAAGTCTAAGTCACACAAAAGCAACGTAATAGACCAACTAATAACATAAAGCTCGTTATAACAAAAACAAGACGCTTGTAGCACAAATCTGACAAGCGGGGATGGATGTTTTTCAAAGCGGAGAAACTCGTGCTGCTTATGTTAGCTGACTAGTGTTTCTATTAACAGCTAATGTAGCCTGTTTGCCAAACTGTATCGCGGCAGGAAAAACTAGCGAAGGTGCGCATCACATTGTGACAACCATTTATTAGTTCTAGCTACGTTACCATCATTCCGACAAAACGAATAATCATAAAAATGTGCAAAACCAGTAGGGTTACGAAGAACTAGCCCGAGTGACACTTCTGCCAAGCCGAATGTCTGGAATGCAGGTAATGTCGTCGCCTCATCTACAGGCACTGAATGGATGGAGGAGGCCGACATTAGCAAGTCTGCTAGCAAGCTAGCTAACTGGCTAATTTGCCTGATTGTAATTTCGTGATGAAAACAGCGTCACTGTTTGATTATATTGTCGCAGTTCTTTACCTGTCGATGATATGTGCTTGTCTTGAAACTTTTAAATTACCGAATCGTTTTCGTAGGTCCTCCGAGTGCACAAAGTTTGTTTAACCGGCATTCACCTGATCCCTATATGTGTGTTGTTGACAGGAGACCTACACACTACGCTTCGCGACGCTGCTCAATGATGGCGGGAACGTGAAAATTTACAACGGAAATGATGACCGAGAGTGTGTCCTTCCTATCGCGATGTTTTAGTATTCGGATGGATGGATATCGGATGGTATTTTGCTAGGTTGCTTCTCAATTCCCTAGCAAAAACTCGCCGCTAAATTAGCTATTACGTATTAGTTTTGAACTTGAGAGGGTACTAACGATACATATAAGTGAGAATAATAACGGTGTATAATCCTGTAACCTCAATTAAGTTATGATGCTTGCAGTGTTAATGTACGGTGGTACTGGATTCCATTTGTCAAGCGTTAGCAGCTAGCTTGGGCTAACTGTCTATGTTATGCGTTAGTTAAACTGACTTTATTTAATCGCACTGCAATAGTTTACCACTACATCACACTTTCTTCGATAAAGTCCTTAACTATACATTGGGACTAGTACGAGCTTTAGAGAATGCTTGCGACGGGAGCAGTGAGTATCTAATAACGTTAACGTAATTGTGCTGTTATTATTCTTAGCTTAAAAGTTGTTTAATTACAGTCTTTTTCAAAACTGACTGACAGCATCGTATTATTTTATTCTTGTCATCATATTTCAGTACTTAAGCTATATTATGAGTGAAATATTAAATCCAAAACTCCATGTTTTAATGGATACACCATTCATTCAAATGTAAGTCTTCAGTTTAATCGTGTTACCTTCAAAATCAGTCAGATATATCTGGTATATTTTGAAAATATCCCCACCAGAGCTTAAAATAGCCTGATGTTTTGTAACTTTGTACAATGTTTGTAGTGAAGTTGAGATTGAAAATGGCAAGTGGCATACCACTTCTGTTCTGATAAGCTAGTTTTACCACCCTGGTTGTCTTTTCTTACTCCATTGCAGGGCACATATTCAAGGTTCAGCTGGATGGTGCTGATGAATAATATTGCTGATTGTTTCCCTTTCTACTTACAGGCTGTGACTAATGTCACAGCCTTGGCCCAGGTGGACCGAGAGAAGATCTACCAATGGATCAATGAGTTATCCAGCCCAGAGACCAGAGAAAATGCCTTGCTGGAGCTAAGCAAGAAACGAGAGTCTGTGCCAGACCTGGCTCCAATGCTTTGGCACTCCTGTGGCACCATTGCTGCCCTGTTACAGGTACGGACCACGTCCCATCCCTAGGTGTAGTACATAGAATTTCACTATTTGTGTGTGTTCATCCACCGTTGCATGGTCTTGATCACAAATGTAGCAGTTTCTTTCCTAATCTGATTTTTTTTCTTATTAGGAGATAGTGAACATCTATCCATCTATAAATCCACCTACACTTACAGCTCATCAGTCGAATAGAGTGTGCAATGCCCTGGCACTTCTGCAGTGTGTCGCATCACACCCAGAGACACGGTAATGCAGAGATTTCAGTAACACATTTGTTTCATTCACTGCTAATGATGCTAAACTGTGTTTAGAAGCTTTAATGACGTAATGCTATAGAAAGATGTGGTTACTTAATGTACAGGGCAGGAATATTTTCTTCCACTGACATTATTTGCTCAGACATTGTTAAATTTAGAGGAAATGGAGTGTTGTTTTATTAAACTTTTAAAATTCTTTGTTTCTTACTAGGTCAGCTTTTCTTGCCGCTCACATCCCTCTCTTCCTGTACCCCTTTCTGCACACTGTGAGCAAAACACGGCCGTTTGAGTACCTGCGACTGACTAGCCTTGGAGTCATAGGTAAACTTGACTTCCACATAGATGTTTTATTATGTGAACGACCATTATTTCCACCAAACAGTGTCTTCACCATTTTCAGCAAGATGTCCTTTTGTGTTTACTACAGGTGCCTTAGTCAAAACAGATGAACAGGAAGTGATTAACTTCCTCCTCACCACTGAAATCATCCCACTGTGTCTTCGCATCATGGAATCAGGCAGTGAACTCTCAAAGACGGTACTTAACTATTTGACCTGCTTTTCAAACACTTAGAGTAAAGTGATTAATTGAGTGAGACTTGGATCACATGGCACTCAGTAAATATGAAATTCACTTCCAGAAGCAGTCCCTGCCTGTTTCGTTGTAGTAACTTATTGACAATGATGACAGTAATGATTAGGCTATTATTATAATATTTCATTTTAAGTAAAACAATATGTGATTTCTAATAGGGCTGTACCTAGCTAAGAACTTTGTCAGTCGACTCAGATTCAGGTGTTCAGTGCAACTATTTCTTTTTTTTGTTTTGTTATTTATATATACTGAGACCAACAAGCTCATATACACCACAGCAATCGTGATCCTTGAGATGCTTGGCTATAATTTCAACAAAGGCCATAAGGAGCAGTATCCTCCATGGAGAAGGAGGTTGGAGACCAAGATCAAGGCAGCAAGGAGAGAAGTTAGCCAGCTATTGGAATTGCAGAAAGGCGTGATGAAGAAAGGGGTACCCAAGAAGTACAACTCACTGTCCATACCTGAGGCCTTAGAGACTGCCAAGCAAAGGCTCACAGCCCTGGCCACCCTGCTGAAGAGGTACACCAGAGTAGTTGAAGCCAGGAGAATAAACCGAATGTTCTCCACTGAGCCATCCAAGGTGTACTCTCAGTGGCAGGGTAGTAACATGAGAGCAGACCCACCAAGGCTGGAGACCGAACAGTTCTGGAAGAGCATATGGGAGAAGGAGGCATCACACAACAACAATGCCCAGTGGCTGGTGGACCTAAGAGCAGACCACAGCAACCTCCCTGCACAAGACCCAGTAATCATCACAATAGCAGATATTCAAGAGAGGGTCTCAAGTATGAAGAGCTGGACAGCACCGGGCCCTGACATGATCCACACCTACTGGTTAAAGAAGCTAACTTCACTCCATGAGCACCTGACCAGACAAATGGTGGGTGGCAACCAGTTACTAATGGATGGAACCCACCCTGAGTGGTTAACTGAAGGCCGGACAGTCCTGATCCTGAAGGACCCTCAGAAGGGAGCAGTACCATCCAACTACCACCCAATAACCTGCCTCTGCACAACATGGAAGCTCCTGTCAGGCATCATAGCAGCTAAGATGAGCAGGCACATGGCTCAATACATGAGCAGAACCCAGAAAGGAATTGGTAGTAACACCAGAGGAGCAAAGCACCAGCTACTGGTTGATAAAGTAGTCACTCGAGACTGCAAGACCAGATATACCAACCTGTGCACTGCCTGGAATGAGTGCAAGAAAGCCTATGACTCAATGCCTCACACATGGATCCTGGAATGCTTGGAACTGTACAACATCAACAGGACTTTAAGAGCCTTCGTCAAGAACTTAATGGGAATGTGGAAAACAACCCTAGAGGCCAACTTCAAGCCAATTGCACAAGTCAACATCAAATGCAGTATCTACCAAGGAGATGCTCTGTCCCCACTGCTGTTCCACATGGGGCTGAACCCCCTCAGCCAGATTAATACCAAGAGCGG